ATCCTAACAGGGATTTCAAGTTAAGTAAGATATTAACAGAGTGGTTTTACCAGTTTCACTCCTCCAGTAAGTTTACATGATTAAACAGCAATTCAAACCAGGCCTCCTGAGCCCTACCTTATCACTCTATCCACTACACCATACTGGGCCTTTGTGTAACTACTGCTAAATAAGGGCTCCAATTCTATTTTTTGTTTACAGTAGCATAAAGCAATTGTCATAAGCCTTGTTGTGAAATTAGTGCAAGTTAAGAACTTAGTGCAAACATTTCCTACTGTGTACTGAGTCGCAAGTTTTTACATACAACAGCAAATTGCCGATGCTAACTTCTTAAGGTGCAGTAATTCACCAATGACATTTAAACCAATTGCATTATGCTGGTAGGTGTAACTAATAAGGTTTGAGGGGTGAAAAAAGAGCAGAACAGACAGTGCCTTCATTAGCACCAAAAGAAGAGTTCTGTACAACATAGAGATGACCAAAGAGCCTGATCCTATGTATATCAATACTAAGAGATACATACTTATTTTAGTGTGTCAAAGAGCTGGTCATCAGAAGTATATTCATTTCATTGATGCTGTCACCTCAAAATAGTTAAAGATGACTTGGAAGCTGCTTAATGTAACCGGGGTTGTATTTAATCCTTTGTGCTGTTAATTTATTTGACAGAACAGGAACATTTGATACTACACCCACACATAACACATGGGGAGTTTTCCAGGTCCTGTGCCGCTACTATCAGGTTACATGCAGAAAAAGAAATCCTATGGCTCATGATTCTGGCACTCCATTTATTTGCTCCAAACAGCATGACGGACACCAGTACATGCGCTAACCATTCCTTTCCCTTGCCTCCCCTTCCTCTTGGCTTTTGGCCATACCAACTTTGTGTCAGATGATTTTTCTGTGGCAAAGCTGCAAGCTCAGTTTAGTTCTGCTGCTGAATAAAATCCTGTGCTTGGCTGCTACTCAGTGCCATCATGGTTTTTTTTAAATTCTAAGTATATGTCCTTTGTGGCTCTCCAAATTCTAGTAAGAAATACAATAATCCTTAAGTCTGCTCATCCCAGCTGCACATAATATGTGTGCTGAAAATAGACTGTGTGAGAGAAATATATAGATATATGTGAAATATGATATATTCTGTGAGCTATCAAATTGGGCACCAGAAGCACTTGTCATGTTTGAGAAACCTTTGTTTCTTCTGATAGGAAACTTAAGAATTCCAGGTTTCCTATACAGAATATCCAAAAGAAATTTGAGATTGTTTCAGCACATATAAGGTACTTTGCTCCCCCAGAAGTCTTCCTGCACGCTTCCTAGAATTGCTCATGTATATCCAGGGACCCTTTACTTCCACATCTGGCAAAACACACAGGGCTTCAATTTAAAGGAAAGATCCATGAAACCAATACTGTTTTTGATAAAGCATTTTTAACACATATGCACAAGACTCTTTAGACAGTTCCCTTATTGCCCCTTCATAAATAAGTAAATATATAAACAGCCTAGAACTCACTACTACAGGGATTTAAGGGTGTAATATTTGATAAAAGCGGCACAAGAAATGCCATGTACATTTTGCCAGGGGCAGGGATTGCAATGGTATTCTGCATTACTACATATTTGCACTGTGATGTTTAATACTTTGCAACCTGCCCATCCCTGCTTCAGCTGCAATCTTTAATATGAAATATAAAGTTCAAAATTGTTATTACAATAATATATTCATAGAATTGACTCTTTACTGCCACCTACTGATTTCCCCCTTTTAAAAACATTTTAAGTAATTTTAATAACAGAATCTTTACAGTACTATTTATTACTTTTAAAGTACTATTTTAAAGTATTATTCTGCCCCACCCCTATTTATGGCAGACCATTCTTAGACATATGGAAACCTCCCCCCCCCCCAATTCTATAAAGCAATTTGGGGCTGTCCTTATGATGTGGGAGGAGGGGGAAATCACAACTGCTGATGTTCCTACCAGTACATATGGGAACAGTTAAAAGAAACATACATTGTTTGCTAAATGTTTGTTCATTTCTGTATTATGGGATCAAAGTCAGTCACTGAAGATTCTTTCTTTCTTTCTTTCTTTCTTTCTTTCTTTCTTTCTATCTTTCTTTCTTTCTTTCTTTCTTTCTTTCTTTTCAAAATACATAACCTCTGTTTCCAAAGAATTCACTGTATCTTTCACCGTAATTCTCTCTGATTCTTGCAACAAAAGTATTTAGGGGGAAAAAACTAACTCCAGGAAACAATTGAATCCTTGTTGTGAAAAATGTGTGATTAGTAAACTAAAACGGTACTTTGTCAGCAGTAGTTAAAGGTAACTTAGGGCCTGGTCACATGAGGGCAATTTTCTTCCATTCATTTCCATACCTCTGTTGTACTGAATTGTGGTCACGTGGTTTATGCCCTGGAACAAACAGCCCAAGAACTTTTAGCAGTACCAATTTATTTCCTCCTATTTGAATAGTTATGTCCGGCTACACCATGGTACCAATTTATTTTCTCTCTTGCTTCAAAGGGCAATTTTGCCCTTATATTTTGCTGATGTATTTATCAATACTGGATGTGGTGGCGCTGCGGGCTAAACTGCAGAAGCCTGTGCTGCAGGGTCAGAAGTCCAGCAGTCGTAAGATCGAATCCACGCGACAGAGTGAGCTCCTGTCGCTTGTCCCAGCTCCTGCCAACCTAGCAGTTCGAAAGCATGTAAATGCAAGTAGATAAATAGGTACCATCTCGGTGGGAAGGTAAAACAGCGTTCCCTAGTCACGCTGGCCACGTGCCAACGGAAACTGTCTTCGGACAAGCGCTGGCTCTATGGCTTGAAAAACGGGATGAGCACCGCCCCCTAGAGTCGGCCATGACTGGACTAAAAATGTCAAGAGGAACCTTTACCTATTTATCAATACAGCGATATATCAGAAACAAAGTTTCCTCTAAGGTTCATGACCGCACGAGTACGCTTTCCTCCTTCCCTGTGCACCCACAGCAATACTTTCCAGCCCCATTTGTTCCAGTTGCTACAGAACCCCATGCGGGGGGGGGCAGACTCGTGCACGGGTGGTGGTGGTGGAAATTAGAGGAAATATTGATCAGGAAGAGGTTTCTGTTTAGGAAAGTGTCCTCTGTTGCACTGGCTGTTCCTGCAGAAATGCATTGCACACAATAGACTTGGAATATCCATGCAGCAATACTGGCAATCACTCCCTCCCTGATAGCATCAGCATACCAATGTTTCAATATACAGTATCTTCCCATAGAATAATATTTTATACTCCCCTGTAATGTAATGACAGAGGCCCCCCCAGTGACATACTTTTACCAATGTTTTGATGTAGTGGGCACGAAAAATAAAAAAAAGTGTGTGTAATGGTGGCCACCTTCCTGACTTTGATTCTGAAAAGAAGTGGGGCAGGCCACGCACGCAGGCAATCCCAGTAAGGAATGCATCAGTTCAACGGAGATACAAAATAACACAAACCTCCTGGCAATGGGGAAGTGTTTTGCAGTTACTCCGCTGCCCAGGTAAATGTCTCAAACTTAACTCTCCACAGTGTGACCCCCCCTCCAAAAAAAGCAACAAACTCACTGGGGGATAACTAGAGAACATTCCCCTCATGTGACCAGGGCCTTAGTTTCAGATCTTGCATATCCTGTATTCCATGGCAACCCTCACCATTAAATCTCAGGCCATTCATCTATCTCTTACAAAAAACAATAACTGTCTTCAAAAGTTTATAAGAACTCTCAACCTCAGGCAGGTCTAGGAAAGAGACTTGGATGCAGAAGCATCCTCTGCAGCTAGCAAGCTCTGTGGCTGGATGACATTTCAAAGTGGTCTTGATTACCTTTAAAAAAGAACTGTCCCCAAATTGCCCATAGATGCACCTCATTGAAGCTGTGTTACTTCAACAAACAAATGTAATCTAGATACTGGAAGCATGGTAGCCGTGAAGGATCCTATATGTATTTGCAGTGGACTCACCCACGCGTAAACTTATTTGGGGAAGCTGAACTTGAAGAACTTGAACTCATAATTAAATCAATAGCCTGAACATCTGCTTGTCATTGTTTGTAGATATGTCATATAGCACATTAATATGTGCTAACTTTCTCATATTTGGTGACAGTTAGATAATCACATCTAATTGTAAATCCTGCCAATATTTCACAATCTCACAGTAGCTAATTACAGCATGATGAGTGGTCTTAATTAGTCAGCAGACTCTGAGATGACCTTATAACCCTTCTGCTTTTTTCTTTTTCTCCCTCTCCCCATTTTTTTCCTGCATGGCTTCTTTTATCACTTAAATGGACTAGAGGGGCCACAATACTTCTCCTCCTCTTCTCATGCTGAAGTATGGAAGGAAATTCTATATTTCAGGCAAAATAGGTTTCAGGTGAAAAACAAAGCCAGCCTTGTTACTGGCTTCCTTTTATCTCCATCTGTCGTACGAACAATTAGCAACAAAACTCAAACTGTTTTAAAATGAGACATCATTTTTGTTGAAACCTGTGTAATGCTTATAGTTATTAATTTTACTGACAAGGTAAGAATTCTAACTCTATACAGATTCCCACATGGTGTGCTCCATAAGGATCTCCATCTGTGTTCATGTATTTTTAATAATTTAACAGCTTTTGCTGCACTTCAGGGTCTAACATTTTTATTTGCCTCAGAGGGACTAGATGGGTGAACAGCTGGAATGCCATGCATTTGTTATTTCAAATCTATTTTTATGTATAGCTTTACAGCTAGAAAAGATTTTGTTCTTTAAGTGAAGTTTTATGCAGCATTATTGGATACCACAATAGAGTTCTTGGTGCTTAAAGGTTATTTCACTGCATGTTGTAATACAGTATGGCCACAGAATCTGCAGACTTTTTCTGTAGTTGTCTGGTTTTGGATCTTAAAATGGATTTAGGGGAATGGGTGTTTACTGAGATGGTAACTGTGGTTTATCTTTCTCTGTCTTTCTTAAACCAGAAGCACTGTGTGAAAGAAGCAAGGCAACAGCATCTCTTCTGGCTGCTCCTAAAGTGTCCAGCAAAGCACCCAGTATCCAAACTCATTAAAAAGAAGAAAAAATAAGAGCTTTTTGAAATTAGTGCATGAGATTCTACAAAAAAATGCTATCTTCTATAATTCCATATGAACCAGAACTGTTTTTGTTTTCTTTTACTCGATAGAAAAAGAAAAAAGATATTTGATCATACAGGTAACGAGAAAAGCAAGAATTTTATATGACATAAAACATAAGAAATTTATTTGTCATTGCACTCACAAGTGGGTGCAACGAAATGAGGTGCTCTTCCCCAAGGTAAAACTGGACAACACCACTACAAAAAAAACAACAACAGTTAAAATATACCCAACACTCACCATGCAAATATAGATACCCCGTTTCTCCCAGCAATTAAAATTCCACCAAAAAACTTATGACCCTGCATTTAAACTCAATAATGCACTTGGGTAGAAGTTGTTCTTGAATCTACTTGTCCTTGCTTTCAATACCCTGAATCTCCTTCTCGATGGTAATAATTTAAACAGCTGATGTCCTGGATGAGAGGAGTCTTTCAGTATGTTAGATATCTTCCTCTTACATCTGTTCTGATACAATTCTTCCAAAGAGAGGAGTGAACAGCCAATGATGTTTTGGGCCATCTTAATCACCCTTTGAATTGCCTTTTTCTCTGCCACTGTGCAGCTCGTGAACCATACACAAAGACAGTAGGATAATATGCTCTCAATCGAACTCTGATAAAAGGTGGTTAACAAACTCTCAGTCAATTGTTGTTTTCTATGAATCCTTAGAAAATACAACCGTTGTTGCGCCTTCCTGATTAACGCAGTGGTGTTTGCACTCCAAGTCAGGTCATTCGTTATGATGGTCCCAAGAAACTTACATTCAACCACCTGTTCCACACAGACTCCATCTATATACAATGGCTGAATGTCTGCTCTTTTTTTCCTATAGTCCACTATAAATTCCTTGGTTTTTTGGATGTTAAATAGAAGATCGTTTCTTTTGCACCAACGGGATAGCTGTAATACCTCATCCCGATATGCAGACTCATCATCCCCGGAAATAAGTCCTACTAGTGTAGTGTTGTCTGCCAATTTGATAATCCTATTACTGGGATGGTTATTGGTGCAATCCGATGAATAAATGGAGAACAGTAGTGGACTGAGGACACAACCTTGTGGAGTGCCAGTGCTGAGTATCTTGTCAGTAGAGATGTTGTCATTCAGTTTAACCCTTTGTGGATGATTTGTTAAAAAATCCAAAATCCACAGACAGATAGAATCTGGTAAATCTAGATCTTTAAGTTTGACTATTAATTTGTGGGGTATAATGCTAAGTACTGGGGGGGGGAGAGGAAAATCCAACAATCCAAGAGTTAATAGAATTTTTTTAGAAGCAGCAGAGATGGCTATTTTAACTGAAATATGAAAAGACAAAGAAATAGAGGAGGCTAGGAAAAAATGGGAAACTTTGTATGATTGAATGATAGATGAAAACATTAATGGGTTAAAATTATAAGGAAGAAGATATGAGACATAATTGCAGATCTTAAAGGCTTAGAAAAAAATTGGCAAGATTATTGCGAAATAAGATTAATAAATAAACATATCAGTAAATATAATAATGGTATATATTGTTCTTTATCACATTCTGTATTTTTTATTTACCCCAATACAGTGGTGCCTCTAAAGACAATTGCCTCGCAGGACAAAAAACTTGCAAGACAAATGGTTTTGGGAATGGGGTTGATGACTTGCAAGACAAATGTTCCTATGGTCGTGCTTCGCAAGACGAATGTTTTCCGTTTTTTGTTCCTGCCTCATGTTTGCTGATTTTAAAATATTTTTCTATGATGTTTAAAAAGTTAAAGTTTTTTGATTGGCATTTTTGAAATCATTTGCACAATATGTATGGCTTTAAAGAGCACTTAATAAACCTTTTGTAAACCAAATTTGACTTTGTTCTGACTTTTTTTGCCCATAGGAACACCTTCATTAGATTTCAATGCATTCCTATGGGAAAATGTGTTTCACAATACGAATTTTTCTCAAGACAACATTAACTGCGGAATGAATTAAATTTGTCTTGTGAGGCACCACTGGACCTTATTCCAAATCCCTTTCCCTATGTCCTTTCCTTGACCCAATAGAAAATGAATAAAAGAAGAAGAAATATAGAGAGAGGAATCTATGAGTGACCACTGCTATGGTAAGAAGCTCCTCTCTCTGAGATAGTGTGAACACAGGAGTTTGTAGATGAGGAATACCAGCAAAGTTTCTTGTTCTCTGCAATTTTCTAAGTCTCACCATGCTGGGACTCCCCACCAGAAAAAGGAAGATTTCTCAGCTTTCTCTGAAAATAAGGCTCTGGCCTCATTTTTTCCTTTTATTTTATTCTTTTTATTTTTCCCTCATTGTCCTGTGCAGGAACTTACCAAAGCTGAAGGCCCTTCCCAAGTAAATCCTGCACAGAAAAGATGCCATCCTGAACAGGAATTTTAACTAGTTTAACTAGTCTGCACCACTTCATGTGTCTTCTGCCTCCCCCAAGTGAATAATGTTTAGGAAAAATGCCATTTTGAATAGCAATTGTAATAATCCTGTGAAATCTGATATTTGTTCCAGAAAAAATAAATATATAATTTTATAATTAATGAGCATGTTCTTTGCTGTCCTTTAAAAAAAACAATAACACTGCATCAGTTCAAAGGCATTTAGCAGTATGGGAATATTGAGAAATAATATCTACACTAGACCAAAGTAGCAAACCAAATGAAATACAAAAACCTTGCCAATCACCATCACAAATTATGTCTTATATCCAGTTGTTATTTCTTACTATAACAATCCCATTGAATCAACTGAAATCTTATAAATAAACAGAGCAACTAGTTAATTCCTATTAGAGTAGAGATAAGGTAAAGGTAAAGGTTCCCCTTGACTATTTGTCCAGTCATGTCCGACTCTAGGGGGCAGTGCCCATCTCCATTTCCAACCCATAGAGCTAGCGTTTGTCTGAAGACAATCTTGTGTGGTCACGTGGCCAGCGCGACTAGACACGGAACGCCGTTACCTTCCCACCATGGTGGTACCTATTTATCTACTAGCATTTTCCATTTTGCATGCTTTCAAACCGCTAGGTTGGCAGGAGCTGGGACAAGCAACGGGGGCTCACTCCATTATGTGGATTCTTTCTTACATCTGCAGGTCTTCTGACCTTGTAGCACAGAGGCTTCTGCGGTTTAACCCACAGTGCCACCACGTAGAGATAAATGTTCAACATTATATAAATGTTGCAATTCTATTTTCTCCACTCTACCTGAAAATAGCTATTTGGTCTTTTGTAATTAGGCTTAACAATTTGATTTAGATGTTTTCCTTTTGTTTTCCTTTTTTTAAACTAAATAATGGCCAGAATACTATTAGCAATTTATGCTCAAATAAAGGAAATTGCATACATTCTGGTGACACATTGCCACTCATTAACAAAAAGCTATCTGCATTCCTGGGCCCATGCTTCACTCCCTGCACACCCAGGAGTGTATCTGCCTCCTCATTAATGAGCAGCATTTTGATACCAAGACTTATGATATTTCCATTACAGAAGCATAAACTGTCAAAAAGATTTTGACATATGGTTGGCCATGATTGTCCATTGCCCTTAAAACTGCACTTTTAATCTCACATTTGAGTCTCTTTTAAGGCAATGAGGATTACTTCTAAATAAACTTTCATGCTTATGACCATAAGTATTTTCCCTTCATACTGATGATGGCACTGCACCACAAACATACATCATGCTTTTCAAACAGTTGGAATTTGATCCCTACTGGTATCTACACTCAACTCTGCTAGTTACAAAAGGTACTGCTCCCAAACAAGCCATATCTTACCAATACTACAACATCCCACTGCCCAATTATTTTCTATAGGTCTCCTGTAAATATGACTAGGTTTGGGAACCAGCTCTTTATATGCTTAAAGTGGTGGATCCCAAACATAGTCAAATTACGGTAAACCTATTGAAAATAATGGGACACGGATGTGTCAGCCATACTATGGATGTACTGTTATACGTAATTGCATAAAAATGTGATGGATGAGCTTCAAGGCTTAGATGTAACAAAATAAATACCAATTTCAATGGAAAGCAGACTGTCAGCATTCAACGCAGGAAACTCTGAATCAATACCCAAACCAGCATGTGCAATGAAAGAGATATGAATAATATATGCAGCCAAGTGATTGCTCACCTCCATTCAGAGCCTCTATTATTTGCAGATTTGATTATATTTTATGTGGCTTTTTTAACAATGGAAGGAAAATAATCCTGGTTTTGGCCATATGAAATGCTTTCCTGATATGACAGAAGAGGCTTCAAAACATGGCTGTTTAGGTATTTCCCGGTGCAATTGAAGAACTGAATGATTTGTAAATCACAATACTAAAATATAGATTTTAGGGAATATATCTAAATATTTAGTGACAATGAATCAATTCACGAGAAGGAGGTGGTTTATTTTTCTAGGGATAACATGTACAATATTTTGATTTTGGTGCTTTACCATGGAAGCTGTGCTGTGGCTACTTTGCCACTATGTTTCCATTTCAATCACATTATTAGATACAGAGAAATTTTAAGGAAAGGAAACAAAGTGCATTTCAGTAACATTTTAGTGAGGTAAACTACATATCAGTTGCCAGCAAAGAAAAGCCAGAACCCCATTTGTGGGGCTGTTCTACTTATTTATTTGCAAGGGCTCCCTTAGTGAGAATCATTTGATGATTTTAAAAAAAGAGAACAAATAGGCTCAAATAGGTTTCAAAACTTGTTAGGTAGGGCAGGGTTTCATGCTACTATATGGTCAACAGGTGTTTTTGGCTATTATTTTCATTCTCTGCAGCTGTTTTGGCACTGTCTTTAAGGTTTCTTCCCCTTTGTGGAGGAATCGAAGCCAATGGGGGATCATGTAGCAAATGTTATGCTGCTATAGTTCTAGGAACCCAACTACATTTGTGGTAGGGTCTATGTAG